TTTGTCCAAAAAAGTCAAAACAAGAAAGATTTTTAGGAACGGAGGAAGTATCTTTTATTCCTTTAGACATTAAATGACGGGATAAATGTGCAAGTGGTGTTTGTTACAATGACATTTAGCAGTATTTCTGAAATAATGCAAAATAATATATTTAGTTTGTGATTATCTAGTCAACTCATGTCATTTTTACAACTGAACAGATACGCAATGTCTTGGATATGATGCGTCGTGGAGAAAACTTGCGGGTTGAGGTTAGATTCTCTCTCTCTCTCTCTCTACACACATACATATACAAATTTTGTGACATTTGGTGAACAACGTTAAGCACTAGTCCTTGTGGTTTGGAGATCCATGCTCCCATAATTTCTTCATCTAACTGATACATGTGGTTAATGTTAAACTAAGTTTTCACTTGAGCTTTCTCTGGACTTTAGTGACCTTGCACCTTTTGTAAGCAGTTTTTTTATCTTCTGGTCCAGGATGTTATGATCCTCGACCACTCGATCCTGTTTGGTATGGCTGATTTCGGCGATCGGCACAGGGACATGCGTCTTGATGTGGATAACATGTCTTATGAGGTGCGTTCGGAGGTGCTATTAAATTTGATTTAGAGCTTGTTCTCTTCTTCTAATCTCGTCTCGTCTAGTTCTTTTTATATGTAAAGTTGTTTCTGATATGATCTGTTGCAGGAATTATTGGCACTTGAAGAGCGGATTGGGAATGTATGCACAGGATTATGTGAAGACACCATTGTGTCTCGCTTGAAACACCGCAAGTACACATCCATGAGAACCGATGAAACTGTCGAAGCAGAACCTTGCTGTATATGCCAGGTACGCCCACCCCTCACGTCTTTCACTCTATAATCTATCGGCAAGGATCTTTTGAATTGCGTTTCAATTTCATATTATGACATCGGTTCAGTTGGGACACCTACGGTGCTCTGGTCAAAAAACTGATGGTTCCTAGCCCCCCTAACCCCTCCGTAAACCCCCCAAGGCCTGCACCTTCGTCAATTGCACTTCCCAAATTTTGTTGACTCTGGGGTGCAAAATCAACAAAATTTGAGGGTGCAATTGATGAAGGTGCGGGGTTGCGTTAGGGTGGGGCTTGGCTTGGGGGGCTTTACGGGGGGGGGGTAGAAACCATCATTTTTCATCGGAGAACTATAGGTACTCGATGTCATAATATGACATCAAAACGTGGACCCCCTTTTACCCTCTCCCGTTGTGGAGAAAATGACACTTATAGTCCCCGAGATTATGCAATCGTGAAGTTTGATTGAAAAATGTGTGTTTTTCAGGAAGAATATAATGACGGAGAAGACATTGGGACGTTGGATTGTGGGCACGATTTTCATAATGGGTGCATCAAACAGTGGCTTAAACACAAGAACTTGTGCCCCATTTGCAAAACCACCGGGCTGTCCACTTGACGTCTCTCCCCATCCCAAATCTGGTCTTCTTAACAATACTCCTTTCATTCTTTCATTAAACCAGAAGTGGAGGACTCGAAAACTCTTTCCTGGGCTCCACTCGAGTGCGCGCAAAAACCAGAAGCCGAGTGAGATCCTCAAGCTGTGTCTTAAGAGCATTGGCTTTTAGCCATTCTTAATGAATGTTGAGAAAACCTCCTTAGGGCCCTTGGAAATGCACCCCCCCCCCCCCCCCC